CCATCCATGTCACTCTACTGTCAAACCATAATCCTAAATACTTGAACTCATTCACTACCTCCAATCTCTCCCCATATGAATTAATTTTAACAACAGCCTTTTTCTTTCTTGTAAAACTCATTACTTTTGTTTTGCTACGAAAAACCTAAATCCCCACTTTACAGACCACGACTCAATTATCTGTATCGCTTCTTGAATCTTCTCCACAATATAATTTACATTCCTTCCTCGCTTCCATATTACTCCATCATTCGCGAACAGTGACACTCCAACAGACCCTTCAACATCTCATTTATCATTATGGAAAAGAACACTGGACTCACAATACTCCCTTGCGGCGTCCCATTGTCTACCTCATAAAGAGCTTAGCTCAGAACCTACTCGCACTAAAATCTTTCTCCCTTTTAGAAACTGTTTGACTCATCCAAGCATTTCCCCTCTTATTCCGAGCCACCAGCTCCTCTCTGACAGCAGCTTGTGTGTATGGGTGTAGTGTGTTTTTTTCCGCCAGCAGAGGGCGCCCTGGTTTACTTTACAGCTGTGATGCCTCAAATCAGCTGTCACATTTTTGCAAAAGAAAAAATGCAAAAATGTGACGTCACATTGATTTGAAAGCTAAGCAGGAAAAGCTGAGGAACTGTCAGTAGTATGCTATAAAAGTATTATAAAATAATATGCATATTGCAAAATATATGATTGATTTAGTCAAAGTAGGGAAACTTTGATTCTAGTAGATTAGTCTTAGATTTATTGAGGGAAAACCCCTTGAGATGCAGCATCTCATTTTCGAGAGGGTCCCATGAACATAAAACAAACAAACACAATACATATAATACAGTACATACAAACAATTAACATTTATACATTTAACACACACAGGTTTGCTCCCTCAGATCCAACTCCACCTCCTACTATAAGAACACATTCAAAAAACATATACATCATTACTGTATACAATATAGTCAAATACAGGCCATACATACTGCGGGTGATAGAATAATACAACTTAAAATATACATCCAGATATTACAAAATAATAAAAAAAATAAAAAAATATATATATAATAATAATAAAAAATAAAAATAAAAAACAGCTAGTAACATGCACAGGGAATGGTAAGATATCTAGATAATTCCAATTTAAATAAGGCAAAGGAGGTTAAGGATCTTATGTATGTGGGTAACTTATTCCAATCAGATGGAGCCTTGTATGAGAAAGCTCTACTTCCAACTTCTTTATGGATTCTTGGAACAGAAAAGGTGAGGGAGTTAGTGCTTCTAAATATTGAGGACAGTTAAAATAAATACATTTGAAAATGAACTTCATCCAATGAAAGTGACGTCTGTGGTTAGGTTGCAACCAGTTCAGTTTTTCAAATAAAGTGCAGTGATGTGTTCGATAAGGACATTTAAGGATGAATCTGCAAAGACAGTTGAAGAGTGTGTTTAAAGGTTTGAGGTATGAGTCATATGTGTTTTGATAGATGGTGTCAGAATAATCTATGATGGGTAGAACTAGTTGTGTTATTATTTTCTTTCTAACTTCCTGGGTGAAACAGTTGGATGAACGAAACAGGGGGCCCATGGTGGCGTATGTTCTTTTAATGATGTAATCAATATGGGGTAAGCTCTGGGTCCAGCCACAAACCAAGATATTTAATGGATTCAGCTTTATGCATCTTTGACCCATCACTGAACTCTATATGGAGGTCGGGGGAATTGAAAAGTTTGTGATGTGTGCCGAAAAGAATACAGCATGATTTTTTCATATTGAGAATTAATCTGTTATTATAGAGCCATTTTTGGACTGAGTTAAAGACAAGCTGCAACTGATTCTGAAGCAATGGAAGATTACCATTAGATATGTAAATGACTGTGTCGTCAGCGTATATATTTATTCAACAGTTTGATTGTGGAAGATCATTGATGAATATTGAGAATAGAAGGGGACCTAAAGTGGAGCCCTGGGGCACCCCTTTCTCAATTATGCATTTGTTGGACTGGGAACCAAGTGACACAACATATTGAAAACGGCTATGGAGATAGGAATTAAAGAATAGAATGGCGTTGGTATCAAGACCTATTGCGTAAAGCTTGTCAAGCAGTAGGTAGTGATCTACTAGGTCAAAGGCTTTGGAGAGATCAAGGAATATGGAGCCCACATACATATTTTGGTCAAAAGAAGAAAATACATCATTTGTAAATTTTAGCAGAGCAGTGGTGGTTGAGTACCCTGATCGAAACCCAGATTGAAAAGGGGACAATATATTAAAAACATTGAGGTAGTGATATAACTGTTGGAAAATCAATTTTTCAAATAACTTTGCAACTGCACAAATAATAGAAATTGGCCGAAAATTGTTTAAGTCAGTCGCATCTCCTGCTTTAAAAACAGGCGTGACTCTGGCCGTTTTTAGGACAGAGGGAAAAGAAGATGTCTTTATAGACAAATTAAAAATATCAGCTAGTGGGAAAATTAAAATGTGAGCAGCAATTTGTAAAAATTTTACATCCAAGCCATCTGGACCGGCGCAACAGTTTTCATTTTGGTTAAAGCATAATAAACAAGGAGAACGAGGTACCTAAACGAGATTCAGGATTTCCAGAGAGAGGCAAGTACTTTGGAATCATATTGCTGATTGAGGTAAAATGTTGATTAAATGCTTCAGATATCTTGGAAGGATCTGAAATAGTTTCATTATTAACAACCACATGATCAGTAGATTTACTTTTAGACTTATTTAAAACTTGATCGAGTTGAGCCCAAAACTTTTTTGGGTTGTTCAGATTTAGTGAAAACCCGTCTTTATAATATTCAGATTTGGCATTCCTGGTCTGTGTCTTACAATGGTTTCTAAGAGATCTATAGGTTTCCCAATCAGCAGGATCTTTAGTGGTGTTATACTTATCCCAAGCATTGTCCCTCACTCTACAAAGATTGACAAGTGTCGGGTTGATCCAAGGAAGATGTCGACCTTTTACACGTAATGTTTTCAGAGGGGCATGCTTGTCGATAACTCTGGTTACCTCAGAATGAAAATAATTCCATGCGTCCTCTGCATTTGGAATTAACTGGAACCTGTCCCAATTAATATCTATCAAGTCATGTATGAATGAGTCAATGTTAATTTTCTTAGTTCGTCTAATTATAATATATTTAGGAGGATTTTTTGGCATTCGTATTTTCCACACACAGAACACAATTGAGTGATCGCTAAAGCAATCAGACATAACTCCTGATAGTGAGATTCTCTCAGGGTGAATTACCAGTATCCAGTCTAGAAGTGAGGAGGAGTTCTGAGCTACTCTTCAACGCCTTTAGCACTAATCTTTGGATTTGTAACCTCAGTGACCCCTGACCTCCAGACACAGGTAAATCCTATCATGAGAAAGGGTATTTAAGTGTGCCAAGTCTAAGTGTTTCTCCTCTTTGCATCTTCTCTGAAGAGTGGCCTCTAAAGTCTATGGTGGCAACATGGGAGCCTCAAAACAACTCTCAAATGACCTAAAAACAAAGATAGTGGTTCATGGTTTAGAGGAAGGATACAAAAAGCCATCACCGAGATTAAAGCTTGCAGTTTAAACTGTTTAGAATCAAGTGAGGAATTGGAAGACCACAGGCACAGTTCTAGTTAAGGCCCCAAGTGGCAAAACATGAAAAATGTGAGAACAGCTCCAAAGTCCTACATCAGTTTGCTGCGACTGTGCATCGTTCGATTATTCAGTGCACTTTACAAAAGGAGATGCTCGTGGCTCTGCACATGCTGCAAACAGTGCTGCCTGAGGTATGCTAAAGCACATTTGGACAAGCCAGCTTCATTTTGGAAGTTTCTGTGGAATGAGCTATTTGAACATAACAAGGGGAGTTGTGCATGAAAGAGCATTTGATAAATGTTCCATCACGATGTGTGGCTGTGTCCAGGGTGTGCACTGGAAAGATTGTTAATATTGCGGTGCCTAAATGTATTCACAAAACTATTCTTGCAAACTTTCTGTGAATGATACAAACTTTATTTCACTTTGCTCTACGGGGATAAAGTGCACATTTATATTTAACTGAAATGTCTTTCCAAACAACCAATGATTTATAAAAGAAAATCATAACATTTGATTGAGTGGCCAGAATCTTACAAGAACTTAATATAGACCTTAATATAGTTCAGACTGCTTTAAACTGACTATCATGTCATGAGTCATTAAATAAATGTCTTACTTTTTTCACAAACATGAACATTGCATAGAAAAACTACACTGAATAAACATTTATTTTTGATTCAGGTCTTTAATGTTTTATATACATATAGGATAATGCAAAAAAATGGATTAAAGGAATAAAAATTACAAAACAGGAAAACATGAATCATAAAAATAGGTCAAAACCATAACCCAATTAATAGGCTGCAACCCCGTGGACATACTTTCCTTTTTTTCTATACATACAGTGTAGCATTCTCTATTACAAATACTTGGTGTATAAAAGATCATATTAACCTCTTATAAAGTACAAAAATATCAAATATATTTATGGTATTCACAAAGATAACAACACAAATGATCATGTCCCTGTGGCTCTGGTTCTGAAATGGTTCTATTCTGTATTTCTCATACCTGGACATGTTTTAACTTGGTTTAATCAGGGATGGGAAAGTTGGCACAAACCCAAATGGCTTCATACTTCTCAGATTAGGAAGACTGCGGCAAATTGAATAAGCTAAAATCACACCAGAGCCATGTCACTTCTGATGCAGCCAAAACAGAGCAAACTGTAAGTCCAATAAGCAATACAGAGATAGCAAACGTGAAATAATGAGTAGATGGAGCTTTGGTCACTAGGTCTAAACTGCATCAAAAGACACATCAAAGACTTAGGATAGCTTTCCCCTGCATGACACCAGGCTACTAAACACCAATATTTACAATACTTAATGGAATCAAAACATTCACTTCACAATAATGACAAAATTATTCATACAACGTTTGCACGCAGCCATGAAAACAATTTATGAAATGGGACACCAACTTTCTTCAGGTATCATCTTATTCTTGATGTCATTCATCTTCTGTTCGTGTTTCATTTTCAGTTCCTCCTCTTCCTGCTCAGTCACAGTGCCCCCAGATTTCTTCTTCAAATCGTCCATCTCTTGCTTCTGTTTCTCCTCTAACTCTTGGATTTGTCGACTCTGCTCTTCCTCATGTTTCTTCATGACATTCTCTGTGAATTCATTCATTTCTTCCATTTGCTTATGCTCAAGTTTCTTAATTTTACTTTCCATCTCACTTTCTTTCTGGCTCCGTAAGTCAGACCTCAGTTGTGTCAGTTGTTCTTTGTGTTGAGCAGACAAATCTTTCTTTCTTTTCTTTAGTTCATCTTTATTAGTTTCCTGTACCAGAGTTTTCATCTCTCGTCTCTGTTTTGCCTCCAACTCCTCCCTTTCGTCTTTTTCTTTTTGTTCAAACTTTTTCTTTATTTCTTCATTACATTTGCTTAGTTCTTCTTTATGTTTTTTCTGGATATTAATAATTTTGCTGTGGTTTTCTTTCTTTTTCATTAAAACCACGATGGCCAAATCAATCATCTGATTCTTGTGCTTCTTGTGTTGATTCTCCATTTCACCTTTCAGAGTTGTCTCTTTGTGAGAAGCCAGATTTTCTAATGTTTTATATCCTTCCTGCCCCTCTTGAATCTCCTTTTGAAGCTCACTAACTTCTTGCAAGTGTTTGTCAATCAGAGCTGCAACGTCCATGTCCTTCTTACGTTTGAAGTCGTTGAACTCTTCCGCCTTCTTGCGAGCTTCTTCCTCATACGTCGTCCTCAGTTCCTCAACTTGTTTCTCATGTCTTTCCTGCAACCTCTTCCTCTGCTCCAGTCTGTCTTGATCTTCTGCTTCTTTCTTTATTCTGTACTTTTCCAGTTTGTCTTTGTATTCTTGCTCCAGTTTATCAAGTCTCTCCTGCTCCTGCTCTCGTCTCCGTTTGTCCTGCTGCTGTCGGTTTTCCCACCACTGTCCTCTCTCCTCTTCCCAGGCTTCTCGATCCTTTTCCATTTGGACTTTGTTCTCTTGCAGTTTTCTATCAAAGCTCTTTTTTGATTCCTTTTCTAAGTCTTGAAGCTTTCGCTCATACTCCTCTCTTGTAGATCGATCTTGCTCTTTCCTCTGCCTGTCTTCTTCCTCTCTCTTGTTCTGTTCATCTGTTCTTAGAGAACGCTCACTGTTTATATTATCCTTCAGTTGTTTAAGTTCTTTGTCCCTCTCTTGACGTTCTCTCTTACTTTCTTTCCTCTGTTCGTCCATTCTCTGTTGGATTTCTTGCTTTTCCTGTTTATGTTTCTCTTCCATTTGTTGCATTTCTTTTCTAAACTCTTCTTCTTGTTCCTTTAACAATCTCTGTGTCTCTTTCTGAATGGCGGCCTCAGCTTCCTGGAGCATCTCACTTGTGTAGAAGCCCCCACCGTTCACTTTCACCACATCTTCAATCATCTTGATCAGGTCTTGGACTTGGTAAGTATTTCTCTCTGTAGGTTTCTTATTATCAAAGACATGACACCTGTTTCCACAATCAGAGATCAGCTTCTTACATGAATCATTACATTTTGATTCAATGAACTTTTCAATGGAGAGATTTATTTTTTCAAATTTTTTACCATGCGTGAACAGAACTATGGTGAACTTTGCTGCATCTTTGCCAAATCCTTTCTTGATCAATTCAAGTGTTTCTTTCTCTTCTGGGGTAAATCTTCCAATTTGAAGAACCAGCAGAAAGATGTGTGGTCCTGGTGCCAGGAGGCTGATGCATTTGAGCATCTCCTCATTGACCTCATGATTAGACAAATTGCTGTCGAACAGGCCAGGAGTGTCCACCACAGTCACACGACGACCGTCCACTTCACCATGTGCCTTCTCACAACGTTTGGTCACAGATTCTTGGCTAAAGTCTGATTTAAACTCTTTTCGTCCCAGAATGGTGTTTCCACAGCTGCTCTTCCCACTTCCTGTCTTTCCTATCAACACGATCCTCAGACTCTGGGCAGTCAAGATGGCGCCTGTGTCTGGCTGCGCGACTTCGGTAAAGTTAGCTTGATATTCACAGATTCGGACTTCTGCGGTCAATATCTCACGAAAGCTACGTTGTTAAACGAAAGTAATTGTGCCAAAATGATCACCTCTACATAGGCTAACTACTACAACATCGATTTTTAAAATCCAATGCGCTGTTTTAATGCAGAGAAATCCATTGAACCCAATGCGCCGCAAGTGCCGAGAAAAGGACTTAGGGAGCGTCAACAAATGCCAATAGCAGCTGTGTAAACGAACAAAAGTTTTTATTTTAAGCCAAGTACACGCACTAAACTCTCAAATACTATAAATAATGGCCATATCTAACTACTACAACCTTTGTTTTCAGCATTTGTCTCTTTTTTTTATATTTTTCATGAATAAATATGATTAAATATGAATATGAATTTTCAATAACTTTTTTCAAAAAGGGGCGTGGTCACCAAATTCGCAGGTATGATCAATAACTACCATGTCTAACTACTACAACCTTTGTTTTCAGCAGAAATATCTTTTTTATATTTTTTATGATTAAATATGAATATGAATTTTCAATAATTTTTTTTCAAAAAGGGGCATGGTCACCAAATTCTCAGGTATGATCAATAACTACCATGTCTAACTACTACAACCTTTGTTTTCAGCAGAAATATCTTTTTTTATATTGTTTATGATTAAATATGAATATGAATTTTCAATAATTTTTTTTCAAAAAGGGGCATGGTCACCAAATTCTCAGGTATGATCAATAACTACCATATCTAACTACTACAACCTTTGTTTTCAGCAGAAATATCTTTTTTATATTTTTTATGATTAAATATGAATATGAATTTTCAATAACTTTTTTTCTAAAAGGGGCGTGGTCACCAAATTCTCAGGTATGATCAATAACTACCATGTCTAACTACTACAACCTTTGTTTTCAGCAGAAATATCTTTTTTATATTTTTTATGATTAAATATGAATATGAATTTTCAATAACTTTTTTTCTAAAAGGGGCGTGGTTACCAAATTCTCAGGTATGATCAATAACTACCATATATAACTACTACAACCTTTGTTTTCAGCATTTGTCTCTTTTTTTATATTTTTCATGAATAAATATGATTAAATATGAACATGAATTTTCAATAACTTTTTTTCAAAAAGGGGCGTGGTCACCAAATTCTCAGGTATGATCAATAACTAACACGTCTAATTACTACAACCTTTGTTTTCAGCAGAAACATCTTTTTTATATTTTTTATGATTAAATATGAATATGAATTTTCAATAACTTTTTTTCAAAAAGGGGCGTGGTCACCAAATTCTCAGGTATGATCAATAACTACCATGTCTAACTACTACAACCTTTGTTTTCAGCAGAAATATCTTTTTTATATTTTTTATGATTAAATATGAATATGAATTTTCAATAACTTTTTTTCTAAAAGGGGCGTGGTCACCAAATTCTCAGGTATGATCAATAACTAACATGTCTAACTACTACAACTACTACAAACTATGTTTCCGCCATCATACAGTATGATCGGCACACATTGTTCCGCATTAAGGCTCATATGCAGGACTTTTGCATTACCCGGCACAGATTCTCTGAGTTTTTCCCTCCAAAACTGGAGCGCCATGCGTCACCACCGGAATACCCGTTGCTTACCCGGCGCCGCGGAAGGAGAAGGAAGCGTGGATCCAGGGCTGGGGTCCAAGTCCGGAGGAGAAGGTGGTCATCGCTTGGATCTTCACCCGGGCTGAACGGACCCAAATCTCCCAGGAGTGAGCGGTGCCTGAGGCCGGTTCCGGTCTGCGCGCCAGTTCGGGACGCGGCTTGTGTGTCATCGCTCGTGTGGAGCACCTCCGACCGGCTCTTTCCCACCCGAGCTGTTTACCATCATGCCCCCCGCCAGCGCGTCTTGTGCCCGGTTACCTGCCAGACGGATCATGCCATCCAGCCCGTCCCAGGCCAGCCCGCGTCACGGATGCGCGCCACCAGGATTGCTCTTCTCAACGCGCGCTCTATTGCAAACAAGGCGTTTACACTGAACGACCACTTCACTAAAGAGAACTTGGATTTTATGTTCATAACGGAGACTTGGCAACGGGAGAACGAGCACCTTCATCTGAGAGAACTATGCCCCCCGGACTGCTCCGTGTTTGGGAGTCCTCGCCTCGCGCGCCGTGGAGGCGGACTGGCGCTGGTTTTTCGTGACTCTTTCTGCTGCAGTTTGATGGATGGAGCTTCATACGACTCCTTCGAGCTACAGATGTGCAAGGTTGGACAAACTCTCCCCTTTTACTGTGTCTTAGTTTACCGACCTCCTGGTACTGCGCGCACATTCCTTGATGAATTCTCTGAGTTTTTAACATCCATTATCAAACTAGATCGCGTTTTAGTCCTTGGGGATTTTAATCTCCATATCGACGATCCCTCTTGTGTGATTGCAGCTGAACTGTTAACGACCATGGACTCTTTCAATTTTGTACAGCACGTTTCTGGCCCCACGCACATAAAAGGTCACACGCTAGATTTGGTCTTCTCATGTGGCCTAAACATTGAAAATATGAGTGTTGATGCATTTCATATTAGTGACCACTGTTGCATTTCCTTCACTCTGTCACGCGTCATGATGCCAACTGTCTCCAATGTTGTTACACAAAAACGCATCATTAGTGAGACAACATTTAGTGATTTCTCTGTCCGATTTGACCCTCGCTCCTTTGTTGTTTGTGATGATGTTGATTCGTTTGTGCAAAGTTTCAACAGCCACTGTGTGTCTATTTTGGATTTGGTAGCACCTGTTAAAGATATTTCAGGATCACATAAAAAAGCCCATCCATGGATGAATGATGACATTTGTAGTTTTAGGAGAAAATGTCGGAAGACAGAGCGTCTTTGGAAAGCCACCAAAGTACATAGACTTCATTTAAAAGACCTGATGCTGGAACTGAATGAAATGATAAAGCAGGCTCGCTCATCTTATTTTTCAAACCTTGTGTCAGGCAATAAGAAAAATCCAAAAATCCTGTTTGACACCATTGAAAATCTTTCTGCACCTTCAGCTCCTCTTGTGCCTGTGTACTCACATGAGGACTGTAATAAATTTTTGTCATTCTTCGTAAACAAAGTTCAAGACATTAGGGCAAACGTGAATCTTCCCCTAACCAGTGTTTGTTCCACTAAGTTGTCCCCGGTGTCATCTTGGTCGTCCTTCTCTCCTGTCAGCTTACAGGATGTGAACACTTTAGTGAATAACATGAAGCCTTCCTCGAGCCCGGCTGACATTGTCCCAACGTCACTATTTTTGAAAATGTTCAGTACTGTTGGCTCCTGTGTGGTTAAAATAATTAACCTCTCTCTTTCATCTGCCTCAGTCCCCAGCTACTTCAAGCATGCTGTGGTAAACCCAATCCTTAAAAAGCCCAATCTGGACCCTTCAGAACCTAAAAACTACAGGCCCATCTCCAAACTTCCTTTTATTTCCAAAATTCTGGAAAAAGTAGTGGCATGCCAGCTGACCTCCTTTATGGAACAGCACAATTTGTTTGATCCACTTCAGTCTGGTTTTCGTAAATTACACTCCACTGAAACAGCTCTTATCAAAGTTTCTAGTGATGTAATGATGGCAGCCGATTCCCAACGCTACACAGTTCTTGTACTTCTGGATTTGTCCTCTGCCTTTGACACTGTGGATCATAATATACTTAGTGACCGGCTTCAAAATGAGATAGGGCTTTCTGGGTCTGTCCTCCAGTGGTTCTCCTCATATGTCCATGGCAGAACTTTTAACGTTGCTTTAAACAATGTACAGTCAGATGTGACTAATCTGTCCTGCGGAGTGGCACAGGGATCAGTTTTGGGTCCGATTTTGTTTTTATTGTACATTTTGCCACTTGGTAAAATTATTAATCACTTCGAGGATGTATCCTACCATTTCTATGCCGATGACGTCCAGTTGTACTGTTCTTTTAATGACTCTGAGTTCCAGCGCTTGTCATCATTTTTGGAGTGTGTGTCCTCCATTAAAGACTGGCTGGCCACTAACTACTTACAGTTAAATTCCAACAAAACTGAAACGCTCATCTTTGCTCCAGACCATAAGATCCCGCTGATCAAACAGCACCTTGGCTCTCTTGGCTCCTCCGTCAAATCCAGCCTCAGAAACCTAGGGGTTGTGTTTGACCAGGCCATGTCTATCGAGACACACTCCAAACAGCTCGTCCGTAACTGCTTTTATCACCTTAGGAACATTGCAAAAATCCGCAATATGTTGTCAAAGAATGATCTGGAAATGATCATTCACGCTTTTATTTCAACAAGACTTGACTATTGCAACTCTGTTTTTACCTGCTTGAATAAGTCTGCACTCAATCAACTTCAAATTGTTCAAAATTCTGCTGCTAGACTTTTAACAGGTGCCCCTCGTAGGTCCCATATCACTCCTGTTCTGTCTGTTCTTCATTGGCTCCCAGTCAAATTCAGGATTGATTTTAAGATCTTAGTGCTGACCTTCAGAGCCTTAAATGGTCAGGCCCCCCAGTACATCCTGAACCTTTTGAGCCTGTACTCCTCTGGCCGTTCTCTCCGGTCCTCTGGCCAGAACCTGCTTGTGGTCCCCAAAACCCATTATAAGACTCGAGGGGACCGGTCTTTTCAGTCTGTTGCCCCCAGACTGTGGAACGCCCTGCCCCTGTCCCTACGTCTGGTCGACTCTGCGGACTCTTTCAAAAAAGGCTTGAAGACTTATTTATTTAAGAAAGCTTTTAGTTGATTGGGTTCTCACTGATGTCACTTTTAAGTACATAAAATGTGTAATGTGTGTAAGTGTATTTTATATTGTTTGTATTTGCCCACTGTCCTGTACAGCACTTTGTGATTTTTATCTGTGAAAAGCGCTTTATAAATAAACTTTACTTACTTACTTACTTACTTACTCTCTGCATGCTGTGCTCCACCTGCAATTATAAACAAGATAAATCACACTATGTTATTTATACTTAATGCTTTTTCTCAAATATACCACACTTTTATCCTTGGTACAAAAGAGCTCTGTGTTAGAGGGAGGTGTATTCTCAAATCATAAGCAGGAGTCCCATATATGACTCCTGAGTCGCAAAGCTCCGGTTAGGATATCCTTTGTTTGTTCTCAATTGAAGCTGTAACATCATAGTAAAGAAGTTGTTGGCCTCTTTCTCAGGAATAACTGTCCACCAAATCAAGCGACTTCTAAAATAACAACCACTCACTACAGAAAAATACGGATCCCCTCTGATGACATGGTCAAAAAAAATTTACATTGTGGCCACAATATAGCTACTATAATGTGCGCACAAAATACTAATTTGTTCCCACAAAATACTAATGAATTCCCACAATATAGCTAAAATGTGAGCATTAAATACTCATTTGTGGCCACAACATAGTAATTATCCGACATGGGTGGAAAGGATCATTTTTCATTTTTCCATTTTGAATTTAAATTTATGGGCTTCCTGTTTGTCAGGGGGCTTGGCCATAATAACTTTTATCTCATGTCTTGAGATGAAGAACATGTGTACCAAATGTCATGGCTCTACGACAAACTTAACCTCAAACCCCTCCCATACTAAAAACGTTGACACCATCTGTAGGGGGCGCTAATGAGCCAAGTTCATGTATTTCACTTTCAATATACCTACACCCTAGAGATGAATAATGTATTAACGTTTTGTGCAAATCAGACTTTGTATGTGCAAATAGGAGCAAATTTAATATTGTCAAAAACGGCAAAAAAAAGGTCACATTTTGCCGCTCCGCTGTTCAAACAATGTTTCACTGATCAAAAATCCCCTTGGTCATTTTGAAGGTACATGTGTTGAGATGATGTGGAGCGATTTTGAGGCCAATCGGTGAAACGGCCGAGGAGAAGATTTCCAACCGACATGTATGAAAACTATTGCTTCATTTTTCCATTTTGCAGTGAAATTTATGGGCTTCCTGTTTGTCAGAGGGCGGGGCTATAATAAAAAAAAATTCTTGTCCTGACTTGAGGAACATGTGTACCAAATTTCATGGCTCTACAACAAACTTGATCTCCAAAAATCCCATAGGGGTATTATTTTGGCTGTTGTAGGTGGCGCTGTTCGGGCATTTTTTGAGTCCCATAAAAATAAACACCAAAATATCAAATTTTTGGGCAAAATTTTACAACTTTTCATGCATGTTCAGGGGGTCAAATTAAGGCTCAAAGTGCAGAATTTGACATCTCTCGAGCAAAAACAATAAGCCCTTTCCCCGTTTGGGGCTCGAGACTAATAATACCCCTATGGGAGTTTTCGGCGGTCAAGTTTGTTGTAGAGCCATGAAATTTGGTACACATGTTCCTCAAGTCAAGACATGAAAAATTTTTTATTATGGCTCCGCCCTCTGACAAACAGGAAGCCCATCAATTTCACTGCAAAATGGAACAATGAACAGCAATAGTTTTCATACATGTCGGTTGGAAAGCGACTCCTCCTCGGTCGTTTCACCGATTTGCCTCAAAATTGCTCCACGTCATCTCAACACATGTGCCTTGAAAATGACTTTGGCAATTTTTCATCAGTAAAACGTTGTTCGAACAGGGGAGCGGCAAAATGTGACATTTTTTTGGCCGTTTTGGACCATATTAAATTTGCTCCCGTTTGTTCCATGGGTGAATTATGTATACACCACATTATAATATTAATATCATTCAACGCAAAAAGAGCGTTCCTTTTCTAGAATCTGCGTTACGTAAGGAGCTCCGTACCTACATGTCCTTAATATTATTACCCTGCTAGAAAAGGTATCTGCTTTGGTACCGCGGGGCAGAACTGTAGAACTGTGGATGTCTCGGCGCAGCCCTTTTCACCATGGATCCGCCGTGGTGGCGCTGCTGGTCCGCTGCGGACCTTGCAGATTTGCTCAAGACCCGCTACTGACCCGCTTAGAGCCTTGTTCCCTCCCGCGGATATGATAATAAGGATTTATCTATTGAATTATGCTGCTTGTCATGTGGATATACTCACTGCTAAACTCGCGGAGAGTGCAGTTAGCTCCAGGGTCAGTTTGCTGCGTGAGGGAGTTGTGGTTAGGAAAGTCTGCAGCGCGGTTCACACGCCGCGGAGTCTGTTGCTATCTGGGTAATTGCTATTTCGTGTACACAAAGTAGCTATATAGTAGCCACAAATTAGTATTTTGTGCGCACATTATAGCATATTGTGGGCATAAATTAGTATTTTGTGGGAACAAATTAGTATTTACAAATTACTATTTTGTGGCCACAAATTAGTATTTTGTACGCACGTTATAATTTTATTTTGACCATGTCATCAGAGGGGCTCCATAGAAAAAGATGTGTGTTATTCTAACTATCAAGTGATAAGTGACAGGTAAAAATAAATCAACGTAAAATGAGTGGAGGATGCCCAGCCAGCATGCAGACCTCCTTTATCATCAAGCCTTCAATCATTCTGACACTAGGTGAAGATTTTCAATGGGCTATATGCACGGGGAGGCGTGACGTCATTTCCTGTTAACGCAGAACAGCCCGTTCACTTCCTGCCTATGCTATTCTATGGCATTTAGGTGAGTTTTAGTGATGTTTTTTAGTAATTAGATTGATACATTCAGCTGTGAGACTGACCCAAAAGTGTCGCTGTGCTTTCCCTCTGAGGTAGAGCTTTGACTGTGGCCATTCAGAGCGATTTTTAGACTTTATAAAAACACAATGACAGCACAATCAAAGAGCACTGTTGTGTCTTAAAAATGCCTAGTATCCTCACAGTTTAATTCCCGTTTGAGCATTATTTGGGAAACTCGTGTAAACCACTGCTGAACTCCAGTGAAACTCAAGCCGTTTCCCGCGAACAGGAAGTGAAGTGGGGTTGTAGCTAAAACCCGGAAGTGGTGCGTGCATAGAGCCCATAGAGTGAAGAGGTTGTTTTAAACCCTGTGCTACCCTTGGGTCAAATTCACCCGCCACAGATGATTAAAAGTAGAAAGAAAAATACCCAAAAATTAGGGTCTAAAGGATTCTACTTAACCCAGGGTTGGTCACAATTCAGCTAAAACACTTTTTATTTTTCATTGTAGCGGGTCAGATTGACCCAAGGATAGTACAAGGGTTAAATTTATGTGTAGATGTCTATTTTTGGGTGTGGGTTGCCACTTTCTGAATTAGTAGTATTAGTATTGGTGTTCACTAGTTAGACCTCTTTTGAATCATGCTTTTAAATAAACAATAGAATCAAAAGAGTCTCAAGAGAGTGATATAAAACATACCAGTGACTTGTCTTGTTTCTGTTGGAGATGCGAGGCTCTGGAGATGTGTGATCTTCTCAATTTGCATCTGCACAAACATTTGTTTTGTGTAACTACTGCCCTGGGTTAAAGTTTGAACTTTATCTAAAAACCGTGGTACTTCTTGCTGGTCTTTAACATTGAAGATGATATAACGTCCACCACAGCGTTGACACAGCTCCTTCAGGTCTTTGTTTGTACTGACAAACTCAGTGAAAGCTGAAGCTGAAGAATCTGACTCCACAGTGAACAGAATGATGGTGAAAGCATCTACACAGGAACCCAGAACATCCTGGAGGATCTTAAACTCAGCTTTGTCTTCATCTGTGAGAGAAGCTAGAGGCAGAACCAGGACAAAGGCATGGACACCGTCAGGGTCACACAGACAAATGCTCTCCCAGAACTTCTCCCTCGTTGTTTGGTGCGGTTCACTGCAGAGAGACGGCATCTTCACGACGGACAGCAACCTCCCATTCAGTGCTCTCTGACGTTTGATGCACTCAGACGATTTGCTCTCGAGAAATGTGCTCTCTCCGATCATGGCATCTGCAACAGAAGTCTTCCCTGCTCTTTCCCTCCCAAACAGAACTATATTTAGTGGTATTTCTTGAGCGACAGAAACAAATGATTCATTGTTATGTTGGACCAGTGTCTCAATCTTTGTCATTAAATCAGTGTGGTTTTCTTTCAGACATTTGATAGAATCTTCCTTCACAATCTTTAAGAAGTTTGTTGGTAGCAGCAGTCCTCTGACCGTCATGTGTAAAGATAAGAATGGAATGTTTAAATGCATTTGGACCAAACATTGTGAAGATGAACTCAAGTGTTTCTCTTTCTTTGTCGCTAAAATCAGTAGGCTTCACGAGCAGCAGGAGCACGTTTGGTCCTGGATGACACTCTGACACACACTTCTTCGTTTCTTCTTTTACTTTTTCCACAGTTGTCTTGAATAGGTCGGGGACTTCTACTATTCTGAGCTTGTGTCCTCTCCATTCACCATCCTGTACTTTTTGGCTTCTGAATTGTGTCTTGCCTCCAGTGATAAATGAACTCAAAGAGATAAATGAACCCAAATTTTTCTTTTTGTCTTCCGTTTTTCCAAATAGAAGGATACGAAGTTCAGAACCTGTGGGAGACAAACAAAAGAATCAACTCGCTGTTAGCAGAATTGAAAAAATTGATAAATACAAAATGTCCTGTAATAAGTAATTTCATACAAAGTAGATATTTCTGGGTGTTTTCACTCTGCCACTTGTCTGTGTAAAGGAGCATTTTAACTTCACCGCACAGTTTTTTTCGTGCGTCTTTAGGGGCATCAACTATTTTTTGTAAAACAAGGGTAATTGTATCTTACTAGTTTGAACATAGCTTCTCTCTAACATGTTGCTTTTGGTTGGGTCCTGTGCAGTAAATCCTGGGGGAAAGCAAAAACGTTTATACATGCATCCAAATGTACAATAACATATTCTAATTCCAACACATACCAGCTTTCTGAAAATTTTTCAGATTTGTTCCTGGTTTTCCTTGTTCCCTGCTGTGAGGAGGAGCAGAGGGAGATTCGAATGCTTCATGGGTCAACTTCTCGCCTTGGTTATCAATGACCATCTGACCCAGTCGTACAAACAGCTCTGACCGTTTAAAGTTCATTTGTCCTTTTGGTGTAAACTTATTCAGCCACATGTACCGATATCTTCCGATTTTCTTCGCTGTTTGTAGATACTAGCACCATTGAATGAGCAAAAGAGTTTTCATTGAACATATTTAACAGAATACATAAGGTTGAAGGACCAGCAGGAGCACGTGGAGCCCGGGCTCTGAGGCTTCTGCAAACTCTTCTATCATTTCTGTCAGCTGTGTCTGGTTCAAGTCAGGGTTTAGAAGGTCTGGGGTGTTGATGACGGTTACTTTTTTATCCCCAAATGGAGCACTGACTTTGGTTGAGTTTTGTATCATTGTCCTGTTTGTTTCCGTTTCAACTAAGATGCTCTCTACGAAGCATCTCTGTCTCCAGTGGTTTCCCAGAAGAACAACTCTCAGCTCAGACACTGAAATAAACACAAATAATATTATGTTTAACTAACACTAACCCTGTTTACAAATACAATGACCTGAACTAGTTTTGATACAACATGAACTTTTGAAAAAAAAAAAAACATATTCATATATTAAGCTCACACTCTCTCTCTCACACACACACTCACACACTGTATGTATAGAGAGATATTATAACTTGTTTGGTAAATTGTAATTTCTGCTGATAAATGTATTGTCATGTATCCATCTACTTTTATTTCACTGTTTTACAACATCCTGCTCAGGGACTGCAGGTGTAAATTAGCACTGCTGCTACAAACTTCTACAACACATCGCTCCTATTGGCTAATATTAATTGTACAATGTCCTTGTAGAAATAGAAACCATACCAATTGAATATTAAACTTAAATGAACTCACTGTTAGGTGGTAAAAGCTCATAACTCCTGCTGCGGGTCAGGGGTGACAGATCTGCAACTGCAAAAACGATTGTTTCTGTAAAATACAGCAATACATTGAGGTGAAGTCATGAAAACTCACCTTGTGCTGCCATGGTGTCACAGCTGATATCTAACTGTTGGGAAAGAGAAATATATTATTTTGTAGTTTTTACAGAAAAAGTAAAGTGAAGTAAACAAAAGTGTAAAACGATCTTTACATACGCCGCTGTGTTTTCGCTTCTGGCTTTTAGACAAGGTTCCTTTTAGGCTCATACATTTATAGATTATATATACATTTATATGTTCAGGTGGATTTTTTTTGTGGCCAAAAAGTTTAGAATCAAAGTGGTATAGAATATGGAGTCACTCAAAAACACCCAAATGGTTAAGGATGATCCTTGTGTAGATCACTCATGTCACAATACTGGATCCATCCAGTCACACTAATTCTACTCTGTGAAAACTTAAACAATGAAACATTCTGGTCAATATCTCATGAATTGTATTTGTTTGTAACCATAAAAAAATGATATATTCAAGTTTATCTTATTAAATGAATATTTTAAAAGTCTTGCTCTTTTCTCTCTTTAATTAAATTTAGTGATACCATTAATAATGCAATGATCCAAAACATGTCTCAATTATTCAAATGTATTCAAATCCTAAGATAATATTATTTCATATGATTTTTTTGCAACTACTTAATATTCTGATTTTTTTCTCTTACATTTCATTTGATGACCTAAAATAGTAAAAAAAATCCTAGTTTGTCTCACATTGAATTAATTGCTGTAAACCCACAAACATTTTTCTTTAATCTAATCTTAAAATGACCAAAAACTATACATATTTCATGTTTTATTTAGTACAATTGAAGAGATAAAACATTCAGGATTCCATGTGTTGACCTTTCCACAGGTAATGTTAATGATTAACTTATACAATGTTACAGTCATTTTATGTTTCTGTATTTCTGTATCTTTAATTACCTTTATTTCCTTGAGGACAATCCTTTCATTTATCCACATACACTCCAGACAAACACACTCTCACATATCAAGACATTTGATGAAGATTTTTACTCTTAAAACTTGATTGCTCCTTGAGCCAAAGCAAATTCATAGTTTGTGACTGACTTACAATTGAAATAAAAATAATTCTGATTTAGATTATAGGCATACACAAGTACACACGCACTCAATACAGGTATACACACGTACATGCACACTTGCTACAGGCATAAATATTCTAAAACTTTTTACAGGCACACACATTCACACACACGCTCACACACACACACACATGCACGCATACACAACCTAAATAACTGAAGAATCATGTACAAATCTGTTCTCATCCATAATAATCTTATGAACTGATGTTAAAGGGAGTTGGCCACAGAAGTATTTTAATGTTTCTGTCTTCTCCTTCTGAGAAACATGTATTTGACACTCAAGCGCTACAATTAAATGAAAACAAAGTACCTGGCCTACAGCACTAACTGTTAAACGTTAAAATTAAACTCAAACCTCGACATAGACAATGTGTAATAATGTAAATATACATTGCTTGCATCGACACGTCTCAAATGTTCGGTGTATCTCAAATGTTCAAGGATCAAGGTTCAACTGGGCGGCACGGTGGCTGAGTGGATAGCACTCTCGCCTCTCAGCAAGAAGGTCCTGGGTTTGAATCCCGGTCGGACCAGGTCCTTTCTGAGTGGAGTTTGCATGTTCTCCCCGTCTCTGCGTAGGTTTCCTCCGGGTACTCCGGTTTCCCCTACCACTAAAAATATGTTCAATAGTTCTGGCATGCGCCTCCTGTACTGGCCCCTCCCATCTCTGTGTGGAGTGAGAGACAAGTGCCCATAATTAACAATTGTAAACGGCTTTGAGACTCAGATCTGCAGTGAAAAGGCGGTATATAAATAAAAGATTACTTACTTACTTTATTGCCTTTATATAAAATGTGCTGAACTTTTTATGATTTATGCGAACCACTTTATGGCAGCATCACACTTACTCTTACAGTCCTGCCACACACACCCACACACACACACACACACACACTTTTGTTACCTGGTGGGTCCCTTTGACAGGGCCGTTCCGAATGGGACCCATAGACATGATCTTTTTTACTGGGACTACTTTAAGTAATACAAAACAGTCAATAGAAAACAAACAACTCTTTAAAAGGAATTTTATTTTTGATTTCTTTTTCGAATTGCAGTGATTCTATTTTTGACATAGAATTTAATGCCACTCCATGTCCGATGTCTAAGGTCATCTGGTGAGGCATTAATGCAGGCCAGGCAGTGAGACTTCCCAGGGACTTTTCCAGTCTGTATGAAAGGCGTCATGGTCTTCTCCACAGCCTTCACCTCAGATGCAGACCATGGCTTTCTTACACGTTCTAGGGAGAGAAATAAAAATATATTAGCAATATACACTCCCAGGGTTAGGACCAAGCAGCCTGGCTGTAATCCCCCACCTGGTACACTTACCAGAAGGGGCACTGCCACTACCATGGGGTGCATCTGGATGAATGGTTGAAGGTTCTCCGCTTGAAGTTTCTTTTAGCCCGTCCGTTTGTGAGAGGATCTCTACTGCTCTCCCTGTCGCACAGAAAATAAAAATACAAGTGGCCTTTAGGGGGAAAAAATAATACATATTTTAATAATATCAAAAATTACCTTCAGGCTCAATTTGTATCTGGTCGAGGCTCTTTCCTTTGAATTCCGTCACTTTTCCCTGCTCCATGCGTCCCCTCTGGTAGTCTGTAATATTGTCTGTGGATGCGAATGTCATGGCCGAGGAAGTTGGCTAGTATGTCCATTTCATTTTCTTTCATATTGAGAACTGTAGACATAGTAGCTATGTGCTTTCTAAGTTTGGTTGAGGATAGCATCTCTGGATGCACCGCACCACATGATAAGGCTTTTTTAAGTTCTTCTAATAAGACAAATAAAGCAAAAAAAAGCTAGTACCTGCTTAAATACCTGTCATGTTTCGCCGGTACACTTTCGCCTTCATCAGAGGTGACACGTGATGGTGTGACGCGTCTCTTAT